ATGACAAGGAAACTGTAGGGCTGGCTCACCCGAGGTGGCCTAGTCCAGATGACCCTGAGAAGAGAGCTGTCACAGGCTAACTGCAGAGGCCAGATGGCCATGTCAGAGAGCAGAGCCACCTAAAGCGATAACGTGCGCACTGGTGGGCAAGGAAATGACCCTCCCCCAGCTTAGGGACCAGTTTCTCTTTCTTGTCTCCCCCGGCAATGCACTAAAGTCATTCTGCAGCAAGCCTGTAACACATGTTGGTCAGAATAATAATACGCACAAACTGACACGCACCGAGAGGAATGAGGAGAAAAAGGAAGAGAGGTGAGATAGGAAGGGGTGGAGGGAGCAGGGCTGGGAGGAGGCAGACCTCACGCACTCCTGGCTGCTCTGCACATGAGCTTCCTTAATCCTTGAGGTACCGTGTTGTGTGGGTATCCCCCACACCCCTTTAGATCTGTAGAAACTGAGGCTCAGAAATGCTGGAAGCTTTGTGGGGGGGTCATAGCTCCTAACGGCAGAGGAGGGGTTCAACCAGCACCTGACTGGCCAGAGAACTAGAAAATGGACCCTCCTCCCTCTGGCAGGATGCATGGATGCAAGGATGGCTCAGCAGTGACAGGGGCACCTGAGAGCTGACCTGGGACAAGCAGTGGGAGGAGAGTATCTGGTGGAGCCTGTGCTACAGGCAGGGCCACACCACACCCACACCTCCGGCGCCCAGGAAGCCTGCACCTGGCACTCTTATGACAAGGAAGACGCCCAGCTAGATTGCATCACGCTGAAGCATCCTGCCGGTGCTTCTGGAATGATTTGTACTTCTTACAAATGTTTCTTCCATTCCCAAACTCGTAGTGTTTCATGATGAGACTTCAGACCCAGGAGAGAGGTACTACACATGTGGGTCTGCCTAAGCGTGTTGCTGCGATCCACAAACGTTTATTAGGTATCCGTGTTAAGTGTCAGCTTACAGAGTTGAAGGTAGCAGTCCCTACCTTAAGAGGTCTGTGGCTTAGTAGAGAAGATAAATGTGTAAATGTACACAAGCCCCAAAGCGTTTCAGCTGCTGAGAGGTAAGTGATACAGCTAAATTTGGAACACTAAGGGGGCAGGACCAGTGCCACTGGGGGGTGAGAAGGACTGGGAAAGGCTTCAGAGGGGAAGGGAAGCTCGGGTCAGCTGCACAGGGGATGAGGGCTAGACTATGGAGTACCTTAAGCCCCAACCTGAATAATTTGGACTTTGTCCCATGGGTCATAGGGACCCAGCAAAGGAGGGGGCAGGTCTGCATTATAAGAGTAAGACA